CTTGTTAAGTCGTGGTACAACTTCAAGTCTCTTGAGATTTTGAAAATTGCTCAGTGGTCTGTTTCAAGCAGGTTTAAGGGTTGGGGAATTGCACATATCAAGGCAACGGGGGACCGCCTCCTGGACATGGCCAATTTGATACGAACACGGGAGGGGTGTGGAAGCATGCGCGCAAAGTGCAGACAACGAGGCAGATTAGTGAGAGGCAATTGAATGGGCCATCGGTATGTTGCCTTAACTGTGTCTTGATAGCTGATGATGCCTGCATCGTGCAACTCAATCGTTCATGGCATTGGATGTCAAATAATAATAATAATATTATAGCCTCAACACGTATGGTTGGTATTCTGTGAGTATCTAATTCAGGGCTTCTAGTCGCTAATGCTAAAAAGGCACGCTTCAAAATCACAAAGGTTGGTACATTTTTAATCTCTTTCAAATATTCATGGCACCAGATATTCGCCTTGGTCTGCCTTAAAGCTTTTGTCTTAATAGATTCGTTATCGCTTCATGTTGGGTCGTGAGGCTGTGCAATGGTGCCAGTCTGGCAAGCAGCCTGCCTTGGAGGTCAAGCCCTTCATCCGACAGCCACTCCTGAATACGCTCATCGTATCCTTGACGCTCAGTTGACTGATTCGAATCGCTGCATTTGCGGTTCAGTCAGCGAACAGGGTTTGGGATAATGGATACTTGGAACAAACCTCGTTGAAGATGTGATCGAGGAGGGCATGCTGAACCAGGCAGTGACTTTATGACGAGTTTACAGCGGGATGTTTTTTTCTCATTGAAAAGCTCTGTCAAACGTATAAATAGCTAATATTTTCGGTCCCAAGCGCCATCCTCCGCAACGGCGGATACCATGACATGATACTATACACAACCGCGTACTCGAACTTTTGCACAATTCCTCACAATGCCCAGTCACAGCACAGCCAGCAGGACTCGACTAGGTAGCTCCAAGTCTGGCCAATGCGAACCACAAATGCGAACACCTCGGGCTTGGCGGTCAGGAGAAACTGAGTCAGTGGCGGCGAATGAGAGTTGATGTCGTGTCTCACAACAGCAATAGTGGGATTCTGCATCGAATGAGAGCCTAGGACAGAGATTCTACTGCAGTAAGTATTCCACATTTGCGTACGGAGACCACGCAAATGTGAGGAGGCCTCTGCGACGAATGTGATTTACGAATGAGATTAACCCCCTGCAGCAGCGGGACACAAGAGATGATCTCACCCCTCCGCATCCGCGTAGGCCAAGAAGCACCTGTGGATGGCATGACCGATCGAAGACAGGGCTGTTTTTTTGGCACTTGTATTTCCAGTTTTAGTCCATCTTTCTGTCCCCCAAAGCAGAAGAATAAGGTTATCGGTGAGACGAACAACGGGGATGTGTCACAATGCTATTCCTCTTTCGATCATTAGAAACTTTAAAGACAGATACTTGCAGGCATTTTTCGCAAGGTAGAAGAGCAATATGCCTAATAGGCTAATTCGCAGAGCTGCTTTATTTCCGCGATTGTGGAAGCTCTCTTGGATAACTGCGCGTATGTGTAGTAGAGAGCCTACTTCACGATGGAACGACAACAGAGCCTCAAAATGCATACACCGTTGTGTAAGAGGCAGACTACTGCCTTATTATAAGTTCGCAGGCTTCTGTCGGTTCGCTCAAGGGCCTCAGCAAGAGCAGACGCCCATGTTACATATCTGAGTTTTCAAGCATTGTCTCATCGCCCTGAGTTCCACAAAGACACAGCATAATTTTCCCGAGACTTTAGCCTTCGCTTAGCTGTCCCCTTTTTCAGCCATGGTTTCTCATCTACACTATGACCGCTTACCTTATATGGATGCACCCTGGGCAAGTTTGGTCTCCAATTCCATGTTGGCAAGGGTTCGATGGCGTCGTTTAAGACAAAAATTTTCACGACATCGATTGCAAAAAGCGGTTCGCATGAATACGTCGTCAACAACTGTGGAGAGCAGCGACACCAATCTCAAGTACAGGGCAGTATTCCCGCAGCGACGTCCAGGGCCCTCGCGGGCAGGTTCCCGTTGGTTTAGTGGGGTCAACAGGCCACCGCCACTAATCTTTCGGCCTGCGAAGTTTCTCCGCAAGCTTATTCCCCAATCAGCCACTCCAACCCATGGCCATTACAAGACCCATGGAAACGCCAGTCAAAGGGTTGCTTCAAAGAAAGTCGTCAAGTCTGGACACAAAGGAAAGGGTACGGGGAAAGACTCCCACAAATCTGGCTCTAGTAGTGGAGGCAAAGGCGGAAAAGGCAAAGGGGGCAACAACTCACAACCGCCACCAAATGGCTACCGATTTCCTCCTCTTCTTGACGACACCCGACCTCCAAAGACTTTTGGATGCCCCTTTTACATATCAGACCCATTACAGTTCCATGATTGCAGCAGTCTTCGCCTACGTCGATCTAGTGATGTCTCCCAACACCTCATGCGGAGCCATCTACTGCGGACGATGAGGTTCGTCGGACGTCGTGACACTGAGTCCACCGAGAGGGCCGAATCCGAAGAGAGCATGCAACAGGATGGAACTTGCGTCAATCCCAATGGTGTTAGACTCTACCATCAAAAGTGTCGCATGGAGTTCAATGGTTCCGGTGCTGAGGAAAGCCTGCAAGACCACTGCAATAACACGGTGTGTTATAAAGCAGGTATTGAGGAGACCGGTGTGATGCTCCCTGCAGAGTTCAGAGCCCTCATAGCTGCACGCGACAGCGTTACCGGCGGTGTAGCCAAGTGGTATGCTATGTGGGCAGAATGTTTCCCGCCTCTGATTACTACAAGATTCAGAACTGTTCCAGCGTCGCCATATGTCGAAACGACTGTCCCTCGCGAGCTTGGAGAGTACACAATTCGCCAGGCCCTAAGCAACAGGTTGTTGGGGGACCAAAGTCTTGTCACTGATCAGATCGTCAACCAAATCTACCTTGGCGACGCCCAAACCGATTTCGAGGTGCAACAAACAGTCCAAGATCAGCAGAAAGAGCGGGATTTGGAGCTGCAACGGGCAAACTACGAGGCTTTTTATCAACAAGCCTCATCTCAGCAAGCCGTGGACTGGACCTGGGATAGCCTTCCTCCCAACCAACTTGGCGGGCCTCAGTAGTCCAGTTGCTATACCTGCCAGTCCGGTTAATTCTTTTCATGTACTGTTTTGGAGCATGTGGCGTTTTGTTTCTTGAGATAGATATACCTTGGAGTTTTATTCTTTTACAACTTTAGACCTGATGTCGAAGTTTCCTGCTTGGGCCTGCTCGAGCCACGTGTAGGGAGTGCCCAAGGAGCAAAGCAACCTCTGATTTTGAACTAGGTTGCCGAAAATAGATAACCTGAGTCCCATCAAGTCTACCCTTAAGCTATGCAATCCTTATCCTGGTCTAGGTCTTTTTGTTCCTTAGAGTAAAGACCCTAGTTCTTCTTGCCTCTACTTAGGTGGGATTCTATCGCGCTTCAGGATATTCGACACCTAAATAGTGCGGTAGGATTGATATTATAGGCTACTGCTTATTAAGAAACGTATGGGACGTGACGCCGAGCGCCAAACAAACATGTCAAACCATCATCACGCCACTAACCCCTGTCCCGACAAGGATCTCCCTCAGGGCAGAATGACGACACTGGGCAAAATGTGAGATGACTTTTGGATCATGTGGATTTGAACTTCTGGGGTTTCCCCGTACTCAGTTTATGGAAATCAGCAGCTTTTAGCGATCAGGCCACAGCTTCGTAGCAGCACCATTCGAGTTTATGCTCGCGAACGCCCGTGATCTCAGCGCACAAGACCAATTTATCGGGATCAGCCGGATTAATTGAGGATAAAAGGGAATTGAACTGCAAGTTTTAAATAGCATTCATCACAATTGACTACTCATCAATTAAACTCTACTCGATTACTAAGTTACTGGATATTTATTATTGTTGGATAAACGCAACCAATAATCATGACAACCAATTCATTCGGCTCAGCGCTTCCCCGCTTCGATTTCCCCCGCCAACCCGCTGCCCCCAAATTGACGGCCCAAGCGGCTCGCGCATTCCCCACTGTCGCCATTGTCGCTACAGCTGGTAGGTCTCAAATCCAACCCCAACTTCAGTTGACAAATACTAACCTCGCACAGCGGCTTATTACTATACATATTACTATGCCCCCAGACGGGAATATCACATGTACACACATTCTTCGATACAAAACAGCTCGATGTTCCAGAGCACAAAGAGTACAAAGCCCAGGGCGGAGATAACGCCGTCGGAACGGATGGAGGAGATAGGGTTGTGGTGGACGGCGTATTGAACGAAAAGTAACCATAACAGAGGAAATGCTTCGCTTGTCTTCATAAAGGGGCAGGCCTCCTTCAGAAAAATTGACAGACCTCAGCGTGAGCCCCGAAAATGGCATTGCCATGTCTGTCTTAATATGAGTACCTATTATTTAACATGTAACGAAAGTTAACATAATATGAACTTCAATCTCATATCGGACTCGGTGCTAGACCTTTAAGACTCTAGAGGAGTGGACTGATACAAATAGGATTGATAGCAACTGCATGAAAGATAAAGAGAGTTACAAGAGCGTTGCTAAATGCGATTTGAAGTCCACGTACCCTTATATTCTAAGCAGTCTATCTAAAGAGATTCCAATCGCTTTCAAGGTCTACAGAAAGACTCTCAGGGGATATGATGATACGGGATAGAACTAGGCTGATAATACCACATCTTATTTTGAAGGCTTCAAGTAATCTTTTGGTTCCATCGAGGAGGACATGAAGGCAGCTCGAGACACCTACACGAAAGTCAAGTCCGATGATGGCAAAATATACACAAACTTTGAGTGAACTTCGCCAAACAAAAAAGGTTCTGGCCCCTGCACCGATGTTGAGCTTCGAAATCCTGTCAACGCACCTAGAGCTATAAATAGGCACTTCATCAAGCATAAGATGCGTGATTAAAAAGACTTCTACGAGGTTCTTCTTCCGAACCATGAAATTGAGAAGAGCTGGCTGGAAAGACTGCGTGGGCCACGACATTTGTATCTGTTCTAACAGGCTACTCGCTCATGATGTTGATGAGAATGAACCTAACAGGCCTGCTGCCGGTCCGCCGCGCCCTTGCGAGGCACACGCAGGTTTCAGTATGCACAAGAACTACCCGCGTCGCATCCAAGATACTAGCAAGATCGATGTTCCTAACCCCAAGTCTATCATCGATAAGGCTATTCCAAAGACTGACGAGCTTGCCGAACTTGTCAGCAAGTTGTACACTGACGTGCTGAACGAGGACCTCGACGCTTGTATGGACTGTGCAGTCACAGCGCTCAACATGCCTGTCTTTATTCTGTAGGATACCATTGAGACCATCAAGAAGGCCGGGTCGATTGGCGAAAAGCAAAAGGGAACTAGGACACATGAAACGGTCTTCAGTATTCTCAGTATCGCCTTCACAGTCACTCCCTTCGCCGATTCAGCGGCGTCAGCTCTTGGTGGCGCAGCGATGATTTCACGGGCGGCACTGATAATCGGTGAGGCTGGTAGCTCTACCCTTAGCATCGTCGACATCGTGAAATTTCGAGGGCCTGCTCTTTTTTCTATTCTCGGTATGCTAATTGTTCCAAAGTGATGAAGGTCAAGGGGGCTAGGAACACATTCAAGGATGCCGCCGATGCTCGACGGGCTCTGAAGGGCAACAAGCTTGAAGCCTTTCCCCAGAGTTCCGGAGCAAGGACGAGATTGTACAGAGTCTTCTGAAGAAGAGCGAGTCATGCTCTATTGCTAAAACACGTTTGCTAAGTAAGCGTGATTGTAAATGTCCACCAAGTCTGTAGCAGCAGATAGCCTTCGCTCATGGCCAAATTGCGCATGGTTCCGAAAGAATGACAAGACGCAATCTTGAGCCACTGCGTTAAGAGTGGTTCTGCCATATTACACCGCTTGTTAGGTACACATGAGTTCAATTAAGCAAACCGCGTTTCCCATTCTTGTTCCTTAAATAATTCCCCTCTCCATATTCGCCATCATGCTGATCGAGGAACTCGCGAGCCTGCGGGACAGCATCCGCCCACTGAAACTGGACATTTTGCGAGCTACCATACGTGGAGAATCAGTCCCTGAGGTCTTCCCCCATGAACTGACATACAAGTGTCTCGTAGCCGGAATTCGACAATGATGGCTTTACTGTTGAAATCAGAGGCAAATCGGGACATCATTCCATCGAAAGAGCTTTTAACGCTAGGAATATCATGAGTGGCCGAGTTCCCGTGATGGAGAAGCCAGAAGACATCCGTATTGCTTCTGGCACCCTGATGTTCCCGGTCAAGACATTCTGCGGCGACTCTTGAAGGACCATCCTACAGTTTTGATGCATTACCAAGTTGGCCGTGCTTGTGCGGTTGGAGGTTATGTGGAGCTCTACAAGGAGCTCGATATTCTTCCTGATGTCTCCATCGCGGAAGAGGCTCGGGACAATTTACCTGTCTCGCAGGAAATTTACGAACTAGTGATGGATGCACCGATCCTCTACCAGGTCATGGACGATTACAATATTGGTCTGTTCGACAAGTCTCAGGTCGGAGCCTGCCTCAATGGAGACACCTGCGTGCGGTCGACGCTGGATAAGAGACAACCAATTCACTACGAAATATTCCCTCCGCCATTTGATATCACCGAAGACTGGTGTCTCGGAGCTGGTGGAAAGCGTTTGGAAGAAAGACCCATCCCAACCAACACCCTGAGTCTCCTCTACACCCCATTGCCACGGCATTTACCCACCGTTGACAAGGATATACTCATTCTCATGGCTGCTTATACTGGAAACATCGACCGCTACGCCCGACTACGAAGGCCTCGCACTATTAATGGTGAGATGCAGTGCATAGTCCGTGGTATCTACCACAACACCTTCTTTGCCAGGTGGTTCTATGACCAGCCACACCTCGCTATGCTCCGAAAGTTTGTCCATGCACGATTCATCATGAACGACGACCTCACCTGGTTCAAGCACAACCAGCCAATCTCAAAAGACGACCTGCCGCGCATCATCTGGTACCCCCAGCAGGCAGATGCAACAACCTACATGGAGCTATTCCGCCTCTTGCCTGAAGGAAAGCAAATGGTCGCTCAAGCACTTGTTGTATGCAACGAACCAAATGACTTCTTACGTCTTGAGCCTAAACTCACCCCGGAGATGTACGGAGAGATCACAAACGAGGTTCGCTCACCACTGTTCCGTGAATTCATTGATCAGCGGGTGACATATGAAGAAGAGGAGAAGTTGGCAGACTGGACGGAACTTTTGCATGATTGTCATGGCGTAGCGCCTTATGAACACTTGGTATCAAAGGAAATAAAACCTCATTTCACACGTGCTCTCGAAGAGGTCACCCTTAACGACATTGGTTTCGAGAACAGAAAAGCCTATCCCCCGGATTTGAAGGATGCTAGGGATTTGATGCGATTCATCTCCGCGTTTCCCAATGAACCTAGGGACCATTATAGAGAGGAGCAGGAACGGAGTATATGAGGAGAAAGGATAGGGAAGTGTAAGAGTTTGGGGGGCTGGAATACCGCGAGCTGAAGATATGTTCGAATGAAGAAGAATACATGGCTTCGTAAAAAGCTCAGGCTAAGCGCTATAATCATCGAGTACTGCGGAAGTTGTGCTAGCTCCAAGTATCAGGGAAATTTGGGAAATGGCGGATTCTGTGGCGTTGCTGGTATAAATAACTACATAAAGCTACCTAGGTACGGTCGAATCACCGTTCTGCCCTGAGGAAGCCCCTGGCCTCTGGATTAGTGGCGTGATGGTGGATGTCTGAGGGATTTTCTCACTCTAATTGGCTCGCAATCCTGTCAAGACACTTCCGCAGCCTCATTATTTACCATGATAATTATGTCTGCCAAAAATTCAATATTTTATTATCGCTCAAAGTTCAAGTTTCGTAACTCATTAGTGATAACATGAGTGCTTAATTCGCCCAGTCCTGTATCGTTATTCCTGTCCTTTTTTACTTTTTCGGCAACGCCCGCATGCATTTGTTTATCCACTCCGCTCCTCGCTCGCTCTGATACGCAGAAACCCAAGACAAAAGGGGAGAAAATCCCGACAAGGTAGATAATGCAAGGAAATACACGTGGTTCTCACAGTATAGTCACTGGCTGTCGTTGTACATGTTCATGACCCAGTCATCACTGGCGAACATCTGGTTTTGTGTCGCCGTCGTAAGGGGTTGCATGAGTCCAGGGTGAAGTCGCCCTGGCCTTGTCCTTCGTAAACCAGTTGGTGCAGGATTTGGCATGTCGCTTGCAGTATAATCCAGATTTCCACAATTATCTGCCGTATCCCAGGTAAGGAGGTTGAAAAACAGGTTCGGGTCTGGTGCATGACCCGGGATCGGAGGTGCCGAAGCTTGTGGAGGGTCATGGTTGGGATGACAAATCTCATTGATGGGGTTTCGGTACGGCATTTGTGGCTGGGTACCATCGCCAATTGGAGCAACAGATTCTGCCTCATTATACTGGGCTGGGGTAGACTGTCTCGGAAAACATGTGATCCATATCTTCTCCCATTTCTCATGATCTCCCGACACGGCTGCGACTGCGCCCTTGAGCTTCTTAAACTCTTTTGGTAGGAAAACTCCCGTCTGCGCAATGCTTTGTGCATCGCAGCCTGTATTCTTATGGCTATCCCATCTCTCATCAGCGTCAAGGCCATGGAACTCGATCCGACATCTCGAACAGTAGAAAACTATTTTATCCGGGTCCGTTGTCGTTCTTGGGAGTGTCGGATTGTCGTCCGTAGATTGGCCGGTCTCCTGTTCATCCAGTGTAACATGGTTCAATAAATGGCACCGGGCGATATGTTGAGTAACATAACTGATGGAAGTAATACGGAGTCCTTTGCATGGCCTATACCGGTCTGGTTGGGCCTTGTAGAATGGGCACTCAAAGGCTTTACGGTCGGCGGAGTTCTCAGGCCATGGAAAACGTGGTCCGTCTTTGCGGCGCTTACGACGTTTGCGACGCTTGTCTTCCTCCCCGTACCCATCACTACCTCTATCATTCTGAGTATCGCCAGAGTTTTTGCTTCCCCTGCGTTGCTTTTTGGGGGCGTTGCCAGGGCTTCCTGCGGGGCGTTTTTGACACGATCCGCCTTTAGTGACTCCGCGATGATCGTCGCCACAGGTGCCAATCCTTAGCTTGGGTACTGGGCCTGTCAGGATCGGGCCGCGCAGGGCTGGTCCAAGACCACCAAGATAGCCCCTGTGCGGATTGAGAACTAATCATTTGTGGTCAATAACAGTTTCAGCGCAGCCGGAGTTGTTTGGACAAGCTATATACCGTTTTCATGAATGCATAGTCCCACCCGAGACAAGACGTCTGCTCTAGGGTAACTCGAGTTGAACAGGCGGACCAAGGAGTTGCAAGTCTTATCCCGGACCGCTTGGTGAATTGATCGGTCATCGTCGTTTCCAATTAACGAGGTGGCAGCACATGTTTGCTTAGCGTCAACGTCTTTGACATCAGGCTTGTTTCGTTTGTGTCTGTGAAAATTAAGGAGGCGTTTGGTGAAACATTTGTGCGAGCCTGAGCAGGACGATCCATCGTTGTCGTTGGTGTTGAGCCTCCAGCGGCGGGGCACTAGAATTGCAGAAAGCATAGGGCCGCTGCGATGAGAAACCAGGAAATTGGTCCCAGGACGCCGCGTCTCATCCCTTTGATCCAAAAGAGTGTAAAGATTTTAATTGCGACTTGGTGAGGATTCGAAGTAAAACAAAGGTTAATTGTTTTTCAAGAGCTACGTTGTTTGGCTATAGGTTTTGTTTTATACACTAAGTATTTGCCTTGTCCACGATTGTGCGGCGTTCGCATGGCATGAACATGGCAGTGACAGCAGGCAGACAGCCGCAGAGCCTCATCAAATGGTGTGCATAGTAAAGGAAAAAACGGACTCTTTACATTTAGCAAGATTCTTATGATATGCGTTGTATGCACCCTGGCCCGTTTCAATTTGATGCAACGGGCCCTAGAAGGGTTTAAATTAAGAAAATAAATGATATCAGAGTGATTAAGGTTCAGTAGATCCGATGCCAAGTATTCAACAAAGGCGGTAAGCCATAGTAACCGGGCGGCTTGTTCCCACGAATGTGGAAGATTGGGCGCTATTTTCGAGAAAATCAGGGTTTGTGGGTGTTTACTGCACGAATGTGGAAGAGTTAGGGGGTTCTTAACCTGAATGCAGGAGGCCTCAATTTGTAGGCATGACTCGATCCTCCACAGATGTGGAAGTTGCGGGGAAATATTGGGGTCTCAAATGTCCAAGACGATTCAGCTTTCCACGATTGTGGAAGACTTATCAACTGATTGGAGGAATTAGAGGTTGTGATTGGCTGAAGGTGAAAGATGGCTAGATCTCGGGGAGAACTTACCAAAAAACCAACTTTAAGGACCGACAGTGCTGTAAAAGCTGAGACTGTTGGTGCATCTCCTGAATCCCCCCTGGTATACGAGTGGTACGCGAACATTAGGTATGTACATCAGGAGCTTAAACACTTGGAACGCCATTGTTGATTGACCTATGTTCTATTATCAGACTCACGATGGTGGGAGAAGGCCATGGCTCATCGCCACTGTGAAGCTGAAGAGACACGGTTGTGGAAGACTAATAGTATATAATTCTAGTTCAAGTTCTGGTGTTGAAACTCGATCTCTGAAGAATAGACATAATATTATCCACCACATTTGTCAGCATGCAATCTTCAAAAAGGTTCTTGAATTCGCGCTGATTTTTAAAATCTAAGTAACTGGATGTACCTGCAGGAAATCGAGGCAATTATGTTTGGGCGAGCAATACGATACCCGTATCAAAGACTGGATGTTGGACTCGGGCCTCGACATCCAGCAGAGGCTGCTTACAGGGGTTTGCAACCAACAAGAACCAGCGCAGCGTCTTTACCGCCACAGCCCCCAAAATCAGGCCTCCCCAGAACAAATGGTCTCAAGGCAAATTTTTAAGGCTTATCAAGGTGCGACGCTTTGGGAAGCATGGCTATTTGTGCTGCGACGCTGGGTGGCCCAAGGGTCATAATCACAAAAAAGTGCGATAGTAATAATAGTACTGTGTCTAATTGTTAGGGTCCTGATTGTTGTACCGCTGTGTACCAGGCGCAGCAATGCACCTCAGCATGCATGCCCCTTGCCTGACGTAGATACGCACTAAGCGGGCAAATACCCACTGAAAGTTCAAATTGGAACGGTATAGCTAGCTGATCCCCCACGACCCAGAAAGCCTCGGTTGCCTCGGTCGCCTCATGAGGATTTCTATGTGCACGAACGGAATCGACCAAAGCAAACGCCCATATTCTTCTCCGTCTGTATCGAGCGGTCAAAATTGAAATTAATGTCAGTTATATCCCTTTTCAATTTGTGACTATTGTGAAATTTAGAGTCGTAGTCTCTTCGCGAAATTGGGGTACGCTGGCCAAATAGAAAACCCATGATACTGACTCTATGAGATGTAGGATATGGTGCTTCGATATTATGATGATGTTGCCGACTCGGTTGCGCCGTGTTCTCATAGGAATGATTACCTCAATTTGGACGAGGGCCATACTGAGACTAAAAAGTCTGTAGGTCTGGTTGGCAAACATTCGAAGCAAACAGAGAAGACCGGACGCACGCATGACCAGCCTCGAATACAGCATGGAACAAGGAGGAAGGAGAAAAGGCAGTCTATCTTCAGTACACGAGCACTTGAATATCGCACCAGCAAGGACGTCAAACCCAGACCACTAGCCCCCAGTAAGTGAAAGCCTTTACGCAGAAACGAAACACTCTAATTTGAAACTGACGATATCAAGAGAATCAAGTGAAGTTTCTAGATAATCAGAAGAATGACTGTTCTGAGCGACGGATACGAAGACCGATATCTCCGGGGCAAACAAGCTCTCGGCGTGCGTCCTTACCAAACAACTTGCTTTCTTCAGAAGAGGCGAGTTTTTCGGTATCAAATTATTCACTTGACTTCGGATTCACACTACGTATTTTCGACAGTGGTTCAACAGTTGCTCAACTATGCTCTGATGCAGATCACACACCACAGCAAGGGAAAAAGGAAGCGAAGCAGAAGATCCCTCCTTCAGGGCCTCAAGGTTCGGGAAAGTCAACAAAGAGACCTGCCGAGAGCAGCAGCGTACCTCACAAGAAGAGCCGCCGGGCAAAAAGCCACAATGATCTTGAGGAACCGGATGGCGACGATGGCAGCGGTGATGAGAAGAAAGAAGAGACCTTTGCGTGTCCGTTCTACAGAAAGGACCCAGTGCGTTTTCTTGAGTGCATGAATATCAGACTGGTCTCTATACCAATCGTGAAACAGCATCTGAAAAGACGGCATACCGCAAATCCGGATCCAGATGGCTCGGGATGCCAGGAGGATCTTACATTTTCAACAATATCAGAGGACCATAACACGGAAGTAAGTTGTGCACAAGGGAGCGCAGACGACCTCAACATCATTCCTCCTAAGATTCTGGACGCTCTGAAGCGTCGGTCCAATAGACGCATGTCACCCACGGATCAGTGGCATGAGATTTGGGTAATTTTATTCGGGGAGTCGGATGTTACACCGAAGCCTCTTTTGGAAGGTGTAGTGAAGGAGATGACGAGCATAATTCGTGATATCTGGAGTAAAGATGGTGGCCAGATTGTGTCGAAACATGTCCAGGCACGAGGTATGCCCGCTTGTCCAGATCAACTGTTATCATTGCTGCCGGACCTTCTCGACTCTGTCGAGGACCGATTCGGAAATGAACAGGCTAGGGAGACCTTGAGCCGACAGATTGCTGATACTCAAGACTCCGCGATGAAAATGACGACAAGGGAAATATGCATTTGTCACCAGGACTCTGGAAACCCTTTCCAAACTTCCTATTATATACCCGAGATGTCTAGATACACTCCTATCTCGCCTTCAGCCTCTTTCACGAGAGATTCTTCAACGCCACTATTTGGTGTTGAAACTTTTGATGATCCTTTCCAAACCCCCTATCATATGCCTAATTTATCTAACTACACCCCTATCTCAACTTCAGCTTCTCTCATCAGAGATTCCTTAGCACCATTATATGGTGCTGGGAATTCTGATGATCTCCGGTTAGTTGGGGGAGTCTTCGACTCACAAGCTGTACCATTAGCATACCCCCTCACTGACTTTCCATCATACCTAGAACCCGTCAACGGGAGAGGCATGTGGAATTCAGTCAGTGATCCAGGGGGTGTAATTGGACGACTTGCTGCAGCCAAGGTGGAAATGATTGAACCGCAACAGAATGGCTTGGAACTCCAGAACAACTACCGTGATAATCATGCAGGGGATTCGGAACCCGGGTTTGGGCCCTCTTCTATATACAGATGAGCTCTGCCACTTGGAGTTTGAACCTCGACTAAGAAGTTCACAAGAACCAAATATACAGATACACTTGCTAAGCTGACCTTTGGATCCCGTACACTTAGAAACCAGTTCACTTGGAATGTTTGGCATATGTGAAGTTTGTGATGTATACCAAATATAAGGCTATAGAAAGCGTATCAGAAGTGCATTTACGTGCTTATGAAGATGATATAGTTGATAGAATGCAAACCTAGTGGAATTGTGTATGAAAGGTTTTATAGAGAGGTGGCAGAGAACAGTAGTCCTTCCCCTGGGTAAAAGGTGAAAGGATTAAAGAATAACTGATATATCTATTTTAAAAAGGTATTTAAGCTCAGACCCTGAGAGAACGTAAAAAAAATCTGGCTGTATATTATTTGAAATTTTACACGATCTTAGGATAAGGTTAATGATATAGGACCAAATTCAATTCACAAAGCTTTAAGGCGGCGCAAACCGGCAATTTCCCCGACCATAGCTCAGGAGTTCCAAATTAGTGTATTGCTAGCGAATTTTAGTATAAGCTAAAGCCGTTACGGGTTGTGTATTCCCTTTATAAGCATGTATATAAAACTAATAGGCTATAAAACTTAAACATTTATATAAAGAGAATTAAATATATGCTTTATAGGTTAATAATATAGTAACTATACCATTAATAATATTATATATAAGTATCAGAGAAATTAAAAGTTAATAGTTAAGTTAATATAATAATATTAGATATAAAGGTACTTAAGTATATTAATTAATATGATAAGATTTTTAACTATTTTCTTTTTATTATATCTATAAAGCTTCTTTATATTTATAATATTAAAAATAGTATTAACGGCTTGTTAAATTTACAATTCGCTATAGAAGCCTTTATAAGTAGTTAAGGTTGAAGCCTAAGGTCTGCCCTAGAGCAGCTAATGAATGTCACAGAATCTTGCTGCAGAATGGTAACCATTCTATAAAACTATATTAGAAGGCAAAACAGCACAAATAGGAATCTAGCAAACTCTACAATAAGCATACAAAACAAGTCCACAGGATGACATATTGAATAGATAACACCACTGCCCATAACTCTACCACATCCTTTCATACGTATTTATCCATCAGAAGTCAGAGGACTTGAGCTAAAATTATGTCTGAAAGCCCAATCCATCAAGCTCTCTAATGCAGTGTGACAAATGGTCTTGTATATTGCGCTGCTCTCATCATGAGGTATGTCCTTCACAGTGAGAAAGTCAGAGACAGCAGTTTGACCTCCGGCAGCCCAGAAATCCCTTACCATAGAAGCGTTCAACCCTTTGCCATCGTCTAGGTATGGGGATTGAGGCTGCTCCAAGTCCGGGAAGACTGTAGACCAAATGCAACGCCAGCGTCTCATTTCGCCTAGATAATACCGATCCTTCTTGATCAACTTGGCTTTTTGACTTTCGGTAAGCCCCTCCAGCTTCTCTTGATTGTTCATCTTGCAACTATTCTCCAAGACGTGATCATCTCGATCAATCAGTGTTTTGAAAGTCTTTTGGCATGTAGGACAATAAAGTGGCTTGTTATGATGCTGCAGGAGATGGCTGACCAATGTCTCGATAGAGTCAAAGTCACTTTTAAAAAGACATTGCTGATATCTCTCGGGTGTGTTGATGTAGAAAGGGCAAGCAAGATGAAAGAAAGCCTTTTTGCGTTCTGGACCAGAGATCACAACGAATTCTCCTTCGCTATGCTCCCCTTCCTCGGCTCGTGGGAGGCCTGACTCCCACTGTAATGCCTTGAACCGCTTTCGTGGAGGATAATCGTCCTCCGATGGCGCGGCGTATTCTGCCCCATGGCTCCAGGAGGCGAACTTGTCTCTCAAGAGCTGTTGCAAATCTTTCATCTGGACTAGTGAAAACTGATTACAGAGAGAACTGTTATGTTGGGCGGCAGCTTCTTCGTGAGCGCCAGTGGCTTCATCGTCGCCATCGTTCGAGCAATGTTCGCTTCTTGATGGAACAGCCATAATTTTGTGGCAACCTGAGCTTCTACATTGCCGTTTGGAAGCGGGCATTGACTGACCCGCTCTGTCCCGTTTCATGCCAACGAGGCTTGGTAGTTGGGCAACTGGCCCAGGACATCGCCTCCATGGTGACTTGCGAGGTTTTTGTGTTACCATAATGGACATTGTGGTTAGATGCAGCAAAAGGAATAGACTGTACGAGTCTCTGCTGTGAAAGACTAGAATGAAACTTGGGATCGAAAGCAAGGGAATTTCGGGGGAGGATCCTCACTATTCACACCCAAATTTCACTCGCGGGAACGGTGAGCAGTAATATACCCTAGCCTGCAGCCTGATTTGACGTGGTATGAAAGTTTCATAACAGCGGTTTTCTTACCTTTGAAAGAGCCAATGAGAAGGTCTATGTCAAACCCATGGCGCATCATAATCTAAGTTAGTCATGCATTTAGCCGCCAATGAACTGGGATGTTTCGGCACATTGTGCGAGCTTTCAACCCACTCCAAAAAAGTGCAGGCTCCAATTGATTTGAAGCCCATGGAGGAGCTGAAGTAAGATTCTGGGGGGTACACCATGTACATGTCACAAGTAGAACACTTCAACGTATGCTGAGTGAAATATGCGCAATTCTGTATCACAAGCCTCCATTATCAACCGGCCACGACTGTGGACGCTGCCTGATTTACAACTGCCGACTTACGATTCCGGCCGCACTACAAGGATACGAATCTAAACTTGAAATTCATTTCATGCACAGCCGAGGTCCGAAACGGATGATTGGTGTGAGTTCTAGTCATATACATCTTCTTGATGACGACTGGGCTACGAATGGCCACGTTTTGAGGCAGCTTTTAGTCTCGTTATGCGTCATCTTTGACCCTTTTTTACGCCAGATCGTAGAATTCGACTTGATGACCCAACCACTGCAGACGATAAGCAAGATTAATTCGACAGAGGCTACGGGAGTCTCGAAAGCTTATGCCTTACTGTATCTATATCATTTCAGTTGATTTCTCTGCTTACGAGGCTGTGAAGCAAAACGAGGATCTGTACATGCCCAGTCAGCTGGGACTACCTAGCCAAAAACCCCAAAGCATGATGCAGACCATGAGAGTCTATCCGACAGTAGTCTGAGAATAGCCAAGTATTCTTCCCTTTCCTATCGTTGCTCTAAAAGTATTTTCATACTTTATTACTATCAGTGACGTTCTCATTGCAACTCTAAATCTGCCACTGCTAGATGAAGCTTATTTTGCATCTCTTACCATTGGCTTTTGGCAGTGGCTCTGTCTCTATTGTAATTGTCCTCTATGGGAAAGCAGGTTCAACGAGTCGATGATACGCCGACTTCGGCTTACTGAAACCCACCGTCGTTATTGAGTTCCAGAGGCTGACATAGTCACTACTAAACACATTTTTCTTTCCGGGCCAAGCCTTGAGCTACTAGCTTAAGTGAACACCATGATGTTCCAATTGAGCGACTATCCTATTGGAAAATGTTCGAGCGTAGTTCTGATGCAAATGTGCTGGGCCCAGCCATTAGAACTCTTTTGGGCACGGGTGATACGCGCACCCCACCACGGGAAAAGAAGGGCCCTGTTTCGGCATGTCTAGAGTGTTATCTCGGCCCTTTTCCTGACCACCATAACACAAAAAATCAGCTGGACTGACTCTCACAGCCTTCCCATGTTACCGTTTACCCTACTCATTTTGGTCGTATAAACCACGCATGGGATTTTTTATGATCAGGCGGACGATGTTGGAAGAGTCGAGTAACAACTCAAATTCATAATTCATATCCGGAACACCGCTTAGGTAAATATTGCTATGAATGTGATCATGTATTGGTCATTTTGGATAACCAGAAGGCTCTCGTGATACATTTTCCCCGCTGAAGTAAGCCCCAGAGTGGCATTTTAACAACTTTGAACGTTGCATTGGTTGCTCAGCTTTCAGCTCTGGCAGCTATTGGATGGTGGCGGTGAAGCTGCATAGCTGAAGAAATGTAACTGCCTATAGTCACAGACTTTCAGCTTTTATTCGAGGTTAAATAGAGGATCAGTTCCGGAGCATTCACTTAGCTTTGCCCAAAGAACGCTGTCTATCTTCAACTGCACACTTCTAGCACATCCACTTACCAACCAACCTGCAATTAGATATAAACAGGAAATAGCCATGGGTCTCGATCGCACAGACCTTTACGGAGACAAGCTTGCGGAACTTGTCACCCAGAACGTTTCAACCCCACTTCCAGCTGAAAATGCAATTAATGCTCGACTAACTAGCATTGATGGAACTGGTACTGCCATCTTGGCCAGCAAGATCAAGACGGCCTCCAACGATTTTGGCGGCTTCGCCCTAGTTCTTCACGACGATGCAAAGTACAATGACTTTTACTGGCTCCAATTTATTACACGACAGCTTGTTGTCAATAATGTTGCCAAAACCGGCAACCTCGTCAATAAAGCAACTACTCCCGCGTACCAGCTGGTAAACGCTACGGGAGAGATCACAGACTTCTCCACCGGCGCTGGGGCATCAAACTGGAACACCTGCTGGGGAGTTGATTCTGGTCTCACCAAGGGATTCTTCGCTGACACGTATGAGTTCGCAAAGTCAGACGCCCACAAAATAACCGCCATTCTTGACCCTCCGAGCGTTCTGATGGGCAAAATCCCTGGAAGCCTCAAAAAGGAATACAAAGATGCTCCAGACGGTCTGGTTAATATGAAGACTGAGCTGGGAGATGGTCAGGGAATCTCCCGCGCCTACTTCTCTGACTACCTCTTGAAGAAGGTCGATGGGGATAGATATCGTATCTATGCCCGCTTTGACTTGACTCTGACTTGGAACGCAAGAGAGGCGGACAAGAAGAACTTTACACTCAACACTTTGGCCTCTACTGAGACCAACACTTTACTCGCTTGCCACATGGCTGCTCTTCAACATGTTACGACTCCAGGCAAAGAAGGCGATGCACCAGATGATTCTTTCCGAGACTTCCGCGACAAGATCATTTAGTCAACAGGCAGGGAGAGCTATCGTGATGGCAGGTACTAGCCAATTTTCAAAGAGCAGGGAGGGCGATCATCGTGGGCGGTAGTGCATGTATTTGAAACTTCTATACTACTAGATGCTAATTTGGGTGCGATTTCCTCCACTCCTCATGAACCTTCTGCACGAACAGTCCATACGAGCTGTCGCTATTCGGAATGAACTTGTTCCTATGCCCATCCTTATCCTTCCAATAAAACGCCTCGTCGTGAACCCTATCATCATCGTCAAACTGATAGCACTGAAGAGTGATACAGACAGTGTCCGAGGTATTCTCCAGTTGGTGCACCTGATACTGGTCCTTGCCCAACCAAGTAACCTTGCCTTCTTCAAGATTGACCGGGTTACCAATCAGCTGTGACGGGCTTCCCTCTTCAACCTTGTCGAACCACGATACTTGGATCTTTCCGTAAAGGACTCTGATGACTGCTGAGGCATCGCCGTGTTGATGAATGGGTGACTTGTGACCTGGGGGCCAGATTTCCATCACGTAGGGAATACCGGGTGAGTCGGCCTGCTGGTGTTAGCTGTAGTCGAGATAAATAAAGGAGAACATACCAGATTATCACCGACCGTGATACGAAGATAGGTCTCGGTTGGATCTTTAAAGGTGTCCTTGTTCTTAAGGATGGCACCACAGTACTTTTTCTCATCCTTGCAACTCTCGTCAATAGCTTCAGGAAGCTTCGGGAACGAATTCGGTCTCGCTGTGATCTTAGGTCCAGAAATATTATGGTACAGCTTCTGACAGGCCTTGGGAAGGTTGGCAAACGTCATGGCTGTCATGTTCTCCAGTATCTCGAGCGTCATCTCCGACTCCGGGATAACCACGGGCGGGAGATCAACAGTAACAGGCTGCGGCTTGTACTTGATGTCTTTGCTGGAGATCGGAGATTCATCCTGTTCAACTTCGGTGGAAACGAGATTATCCATCCAGGCAGCATTCTTCTTCTCGAACTGGATCTCCATAAAGGTCATGGAATTGTTAATCAGAGATTGCCCATACCGGATGCGAGCGTTGCTCCTGTCGACGGAGATCCAGTAAGTAGCCTGTTTCGTCAACGTGTCAAGCAAAGCCGAGGCTTTTCCTTTCGGAAACATGACAAGGTCGTAAGACTTGCTCCTGTCCTCGCCAGGCTTAAACGTGAGCTTCTCTTTGTACGCGACAAACTTGTCAGCATCTTTGTCTTTCTTTAAGAGAACGCAGTCAGTCTTGGTGATTTCAAGCTTCAGGGTTGGCTGTTCCTTTCGCTTTTCGGGGCGAATAATAAATGTAACACTTTCTTTGGGGGAATCAGCTTTGGCGGCAATGGTACCAAGACCTCCCACGGCAAAGTCAATCCCGACAGGAATAGTCCTCCAGGAAGACGAGATTGAAGATAGAAGATTGGCGGGTTTGAAGGGGCTGACTTGGGGTTGAGCCTCGGGTTCAACAGGGATCTTCTCCTGGGGTTCCCAAAAGGGATCAGTGAAGTGGGACGGATCGGCCATGGTAAAGAAGTGATGATGAATCTCGAGACTGACTTGATGAGGAGATTCAATGTTTTTCAGTAAGAGAACTTCTTTGTATAAATAATTGTTCCTCGAATCCCGCTTTGACCTCAACAACTTGATATATCACTTGATAGACGGCCAAACCGCCTATCGCATCTGTTGAATTCGTCATCCAAGACAACCCACTCAGTTGCAGGAGACTAGTGGCCTTCAGCTAGCCACAAGGACTCTTTTTGGGAAAAGATCACAGAAACAGTCGGTCTGGAGCGCACAAGTTTCCTTTTCGAGGTAATTCAGGTCTCGCAAGATGCTTGAGTGCGGGGGTGCAGAGACATTTGCCGCTTTGGCATCGGGACGACATACTGTAACCAGGTGCCCAACACCGTGCCAAAACTATCCAAAATCTATTGGGATATTCTAATTTTGCAGCAGTTGAGCATCTCCTTTACTTATCGTTAGTAGCGGGATTTATTAACCCGAGTGACGCTGCCGCATCACCTAGTACCTGCCTGTTCAATACCCATGAACTGTTTCACAAGACTAAATCCTCTATGGAACCAGATCTGCAGTCAAAGATTGTTGGGGGACTGATCCAACTCTCGCATTGGGCCTAAGCGGT